TCTTTCTCAGTCATTATTCTTAAAACGAGTATTAGTCGAGTTTTTACTTGTTTAGTCTAAAATATTTTATAGGATTTTTTTTTACAAATACAATAATTAACCACAAGCTAATTATTTTGTTAATAACAGCAAGGAGCAAATATCTACAGCATTTGATTTTCGAGATTATTACATTTCATTTACAATTTTAGTTCTTTAATAATAAATATTCAAAAGTGTAATAAATTTATTTTAGGACAAAAAAACTGCCGTGGAAATTCTCTCGTTATCATTGTCGATGTTTTCCAGTATTTCTGCCATTAATTGATGTAATAATTGCAAACATATTCAGTAATATTCTACTTTTAATTTCTACTACTTTTTTGCTTTAAATTAAAGATTATTTGGTAGTATTTGTGTTACTTCATTTAAATACATCTTGTACATGTATAGTCTTTCCGAAGTCAGTTGAACATATATAAAAACGCCTAGCATTAAAATTGAATGACTTTCATAGGCGCCCCTAAAAAAGATTTCTGCTAAAGGTAAAAAATAATTATAATAATTTGTATATAATGTATAGAAAATTTCTATTGTATGTTCATTTGGCTAACAACTTATTTTAAATATTTATGTCCTCAAACAATTTTATTATATTGATGGTAAATTTCGTACAGTTTCAAAAGGTCTCCAAAAAGCCATGTTGTAATAATATTAGTAAACAAAATGCCCCTCTTATTTCTCCCTTTCGCAATTGTAATATGAATGATTAATAGAAGGTGCCTATAATAAATTAAAATTACCTGAATCGCACCAAATTCCGCATTGCTGCACTGCATTGCTAGGCAATTTGTTAACAACTTGTCAACATCTGAGATTTATTACCCAGTCGCCTAGTTCGGCTGTCTGTGTATGCCGTTTGCCCACGCGCGCATTATTCAACTGGGCGTATACATTTCTACCAAGTTCGATCAGACCTGTTTATGGGCATGGTTAAATAAATATGGGAACAAGTTTTTCAAATATTTTAATGCCAAGCTGCTGCATCAGCGACCGAACCTGGTATATACTGTCAACCTTAATTGAGATCGGAATAACTATACTATTGTATTATTTTAATGTAATTTGTAATATTTTTAAAAATTACGATAACAAGAAGCAAGGTTCTTCCCCTGCAAAATAATGTCTCATAAAAATTAAAATCGACAAGATCGGTATCTACATACAACGATTAATAGCTTGTTTTCGACTGTACCGTTAATTGACCGTGATGATTTTTTGTACTTGTAGTGAGAACAGGTCATAATAGAATTCGAAGAAAAAGTATTCAAATTTATCTGTTGATTAACTTAACTACTCGTGTAAATACATAAATAAATTCATTTATGGGATGTTTACTTATTTCATTTGATACGATTTGGTCAACGTTACGTTTTATGTTATACACAAGAACATTTTTATTATTTTATTACGAGATTGATTATTCGATCAAATAATGTTCCTTTGAACTTATATTGATTTTTAATGTGAACATTAGGTCATTATTAATGCAAGATTAATTAAATTTATCATATTTAAAATGTTTTAAATATCATAGGATCACAAAAAAAAATCGACGAAAGGTCTCCTCGTCCAAACCTATCGTATTATATGTTTTTTGTGTCGCTGAAACCGAATCTGCAATTCATTTGGTTCCATTACGTCAGAGTTTTTTTCTAACCTCAAAAAATAGCTGAAAATGGTAGAATTCTACAAAATCAACCCTGCAACCTGTTAAAACCTTATAACTCCACATCCTTATGGTATCTAATAAGTTCGACAAGCAGTAAAATGATAACTTGCAACCGTAAAAATACATAACCTCAAAATTGGATGAGCCCAAAACCCAAAAATCTAAAATAAGCAGCGAATAAACTTACACATAGGGCACAAACCTTCATTTTTGAATAGTAAACTCTTTTAACCTAAAACCCCGAGACCCCATAACCTGAAAACACGACCAGGCCTCAAGTTGAAAAAACCTCGAAGCTGAATAACCCTAAACTCCCAAAATTTCAAAACCAGGGTCGGCATTAATAAGGGTGAGGGTGGCGATCACTTCTAGCGTCACACATGAGCAGCGAGACACACTTCGAACAAAGAAGTCACTGGCCGAAACCCGAGTTCCCAAACCCATAAAGCGTAAGTGCAGCAAGATCTCTAAACCCGGGCTCACAAACTCACATACCTTGGGCACGGCAAACCCTCAAAGCCAAGATCCTAAACCCACATACTCTGGTTACAGCAAGTTTCATAAATCTAATCTTTCAAACCTACATACTCTGACCGCAGAAATATCCTCAAACCCGAGTAATTGGAACCAGATACTCATCCAAGAAACTTCAAAGACACAAAAATTTACGAGTTGGTGGTGTCTACATGACGGCATGAAAGCCGCAATCCAGGTATTTTGTCGGATCGCGGAAAACTCCGTTGCCCGCCGTCACCACGAGGAGGTGCCCTGGATGTCTCCACACGAAAATACTTTTGATTCGGAACCCTTATTTTCAAGCTCTAGATTAGGTACCAAAGCGATTTTTCTCTTGAACCCAAGCTCCTAAACCCTCATACCCTAGGAGCAGTAGGATACACGTTAGTTGCGCAACAGTCAGGCAAACGGAACGAGTATGCTTTTACACTCAAGCTTCCGAATCCTCGTGACAGCGAGATACACGTTCATCACACAGCAGATAAGCGAGCAAAGCCAGCTTTCTTTCACACCCAAGCTCCCTAGCACATATACTCTGGTCGGAGCGAGATCAATGTTTGTTACAAAGAGGATAAAGAAGCAAACCTAAGTACCTTAGTATAAAACCTAACCTTCCAAACTCTAACACTCTCTTGTCTCACCTAGGGTATGAGGGTGTGGAAGCTTGGTTTCATGAATCCCGCCAAAGGCCTGTGTGATGGAAGCGTAGATCTTGTTGCGCCCAAGGTACGTTGTGCTCAGGGTATGTGGGTTTGGGATTTTGGGTTTAGGGTATGTGGGTTCGGGTGCTTAAGTTTATGAGTTTCGGCCAGTGGCTTCTTTGTTCGAAGTGTGTATCTCGCTGCTCATGTGTGACGCTCGAAGTGATTGCCACCCTTACCCTTATTAATGCCGGCCCTGGTTTTGAAGTTTTGGGGTTTTAGGGTTATTCAGCTTCGGGGTTTTGAGGTTTCAGATTGAGGTCTTGTCGTGTTTTCAGGTTATGGGGTTTCGGGGTTTTAGGTTGAAAGGGTTTACTATTCAAAAATGAAGGTTTGTGCCCTATGTGTAAGTTTATTCGCTGCTTATTTTGGGTTTTTGGGTTTTGGGCTCATCCAATTTTGAGGTTATGTATTTTTACGGTTGCAAGTTATCATTTTACGGCTTGTCGAGCTTGTTCGGGATCATAAGGATGTAGAATTATAAGGTTTTAACAGGTTGCAGGGTTGATTTTGTAGAATTCTACCATTTTCAGCTATTTTTTGAGGTTAGAAAAAAACTCTGACGTGATGGGACCAAATGAGTTGCAGATTCGGTTTCAGCGACCCAAAAAACATATGATACGATAGGTTTGGCCTAGGAGACATTTCGTCGATTTTTTTGTGGTCCTGTCTGTGATATCCTTCAGAGTAATTAAGATATTGAACCTTGAGTACAGACTTACATGACCGAGGAAAGAAATGAAAAAAATAAATTTTCTTTAAAACATCCATTATGTCTGAAATATTTTGGTTTTCAATACACACCTTTCCTAAAGATGCGCAGAAAATCTATGGAATAAATGGCTAAAACTAAGATAACTTTTTTTTAAGAAATATGAGACATATTTATACTAATACTAACTACTGTTATGTTGGTATTTTTTTACTGTACCTATTATATAATGTTAGCACGCTACGAACAAAGAATTAAAACAAATAATAAATTATGCTAGAACGCCTATAAAAAATGATCGCTTTCAGTCAAAATACACATTTCAGAGCTTCATATTGAATCTTGAACGCATTAAAAATCCCAATAGGAGCTACACAACAAAAAACTAGTACTTTTGAGGCGCCACTAAAAAAATATCTATGGGATTCGAGTATGGTCATCTAGAAAACTTTTTCAAGAAAACGTCGGTATGGATCACTTGCAATAATACCCATATACACAGATAACTGATACTGAAACCGGCATTCTACTATGGCGTGAGGGTTTTCATAGGACCAAATATGGTTATTATGGAGATTATTATGAAAATTCGTCATAGCATCTCTCAAAAAAGTAGTTTAATCAGTAAATATTATTTTAGTGTTAAAACGAATATTTGTGGAATCTTTTGCGAAATCTGATGGCAAAATTTTAAGCGAGTGGGGTAGTCTTATGGCAGTAAGGCTTGAACTTATAGTTTGTGGGAGGGGATAGATAATATAATTGTTGGTCTTTGGAGATAATTTACTGCACAGTAATAATAATAATAATAATAAGAGTAATAAAAGTAACCCTGTTGATGCCTTGATAATAGTCCTTTTAATTTCAGAAGAAAAATTGTACAAAATTGAAACTACTTGTCAAAATAACAAACGAAAAATATCCAATTGACTTGTTTTAAACATAGCATACGAAGGTAATATTGTACAAGTTTGGATACAGGCCTCTGATCTATCAAAATAAATGGCGTCCTGTAACGTTTACAATTAATAGCGCGTATTTCCCAATAGACTACCCATATTCCGAACAATTTGAACACCCACTAGGTGATTAAGGGGTTGTTCCAACCCCACTGGCAGCGCCCTCTTCTTTTTTATCGAGTTTGCGCAAACGTCAATCCCTATACAAACTTCGGGTTCAACAACACGTTTCACTTCCGTGCTTCCATCCATCTCTTCGTATTGACCTAGTCCCCACTGTTGCCGGTCGGCGAGCGTGTGGCATTAAAATAATCCAAATAACACCGTCAAATGACTCAGGCGGTGGAGGGGCTGGATATTAGGTTCGTCGGTACATGTGCAGCAGCGAAGTTAAAATTCGATTTAGGAGCAGGGAGCTCCCGCTAGTCAGTTTAGGACGGTGTAGCGTTCGTCGTTTGTTTATATGTCTACTGCGCGATCGTTGCGGTGATATAACCGATGTTTCTTTGTTTTTCCGGGGCTGACTATCCGTGATTCGCTGCATTTACCTAAATCGAAAGTGCCAATATGGATAGCTGTAAAATTATAAGTCAACAGAACCTGAAGTATTTGCCAAAGAGGCCGCCCGTAAATATCGAGTTTCAAGACTTGACTTACAACGTTCCACATGGTAGAAAAGGTTAGCGAATCTATTCATATTAATCTGGCACTGGCCCTTGTTGTCTTTATCATATTCATTGTCTACCTTGCTTATAAATACTCAATGAATGATAAATTCAAAATATTGCATTTTGAAACGGTTTCCACTGCCTTTCTTTTAAAAGTACAATGGATGCATTTGCTTTATGGCCCTTGGTGCATTACAGTTTGAAAACATTTTAAAATGGGTGACAAACTATGTTAAATATGATTTATGAAATAATAAAACAGTTTAGCAACAAGGTCTAGAGTCTAGAACAGGGGTCGGCAAGTAATTTTAGGTGGGGTCCGGATACTTTTGAAAATTTTTAACGAGGTCCAGAAAAAAATTCATATTTCTTATTTTTTATTTTAATTTGGACTCAAATTTAATCTGCTTACTAACCATTAAGAACTCAAAACACACACAATTGTAAAATACTAGAAAAAATGATAAGATTGGCACTTAAACGTAAAAAACATTTTTTAAATAATTTATTTGAGCAATTTATACTTTCAAACAATTTTTGGCGGTCCAGTATTTTACCTTCCGCGGTCCGGACCTGGACCGCGGTCCGCCAGTTGCCGACCCTTGTTCTAAATCATTGTT